AATTAGATATACAGACCAGAACTCTGAGAGGGGCTCCGTTGAGCTCCTTCGGCGACAGGCTCCTCCCCCAGGAAGCCACATATTCTGTTTCAAATCTCTGCAAAAGTTTATACATTTTAGCAATAATATGTTTATCGTTTATAGATACCGGTAATACAATTTCAAATTCTGTTTTATGTTCAATCCCAGTCTCTTTTTTACTTACATTAAATGTCTCTTAATTATTTAGATGAAAACCATTGAAAATTAAATCTTTTTGCAGTCAGTTGTTCTTTTGATTTCATCTTAAGTTCTCCATCTTCTTGTACTAACAACTTTTGATATGTTAACAATTTGTCTTTTCCCATTGTTTCTTTTTCTTATAAAATGCTTATTGTGCTCAAACCTTTAAGGTATTTTTGAGCATAGCCTGGGTTTATCTATATACCATACTCTTAAAATTGCACTGTTTTCCCCCCACTTAGTATATAGTATGTGAAATTACATTTGACAAGAAAAAGATAGATTCCATTTCCACCATCCTCCCCCCATTGCAATATCCCAATTGATCTATACTATTCAGTAAACTATTAATGTAAATTAATGTAAAAGTAACTGTGTGTTTTGAGTACAGCATAGGCTACCGTTTTAAATCTGTTCTAGTGTCAATAAAGGCCAACATTCATATATGAACCATTTTTATGTTGCATTAAAATTAGAAATAACCCGAGTTGACAAGCTTGATTATACTTAAAGTATCTTGGGACTTTTCTAACTGTGAAGAACTGTGAGCAAATTAATTCTGAATGTGCTTGTTGCTTAAATATGCTTGATGGTTTTTTTGTGAAGTGAAAATATTAGGCACATTTATAGTAACTAGCTGTGAATCTGCAAAAAGTGTAGTCATCTATAATTTTAAAAGGCTCCTAGAGAAATATGCTGCACTATTGCACAGAAGTACTAAAATATTGGAATATTTCCTATCTTAACATAACTTCTGGCCTAAATACAATAAAGGATGGTATTTCTTTCACTTTGTTTACATTTCCCTAAGCTCAAAATAATTATTCGTTATTTGGTAAGGATGAATAGTGGGAGATCTGACATTGTTTTCTCTTGCAGGAATGATTCTAGTCAGAAGTAATACCGGTCAATTAATGTTGATATCACAACAAGCATTATTAGAAGCTCAGAGTCAGACCTCAAATAATACCAGTGTAAAATGCTCAATACCTCCAACTGCAACTACCATCAAAATTCAGCCTGAACAGGTAATCCCATACCAGGAATTATTTTAATGTTCCTGCTGTTCTTGGTGCCTATAAGAATTAGATAATATGAGTTTAGGTTTCGTCAGTATGACTCCTAACAGTGTCCATCGGTCTTCCTATTCTGATTGTATACGTATTCCTTTAAAATAAGAAAAATGACAATCAGTTTTTGCCATTATTGACCTTTACAGAAATGTTTTAGACTCTCATATTGAGTCCATAAATATCCTTAGAGAATAAAGAGAACTGTTCAAAAAATGCTTTATTTGAAAATTGACCTAGCGCTCCAAATGTGATTAAGCAGTGGGAATCAATTTTCCCAGCTTGAGCAGTGGTAAATTGGTGTGTTGTGGCTGCCTACATCCTCCATAGCAGCCTAGAATACTTTCAAAATATGTGTGTCCCCCCTCCCCCCACAAATTGCTAGTTTTTTTGCTGTTATAGTGCATCTTTGTGGATATGGAATTGCAAGGCCCTTAGAATTAATCTGATGTAGGATTTCTTTTGCTTTTGAATTGAATTGAATTGAATTGGTAGTACAATTTGTCTATAAGTAAGAAAGTGCAACAGAAGCATTTTTTCACAGTTACTGCCACTGTTAACTGTTTTCATATGATAAATATTTGCAGTTTTAAAAATATTTTCTTGCATATAAGGCAGCATGAATGTGTATTTGAATAATCAGTCATAAATGCAACTTAATTCTGCTCTAACCTTTTATATTTACCCCGAGTGCTATAGCATTTGTAATAACAGTCAAAGACATTTACAACTTACACAAAAATAGAAAAATTCTGTGTATAGGGGCATTTGTATGCCAAAGCAGATAATCTATTTACAGTTAGTAAGGAACTTTCATTGACTACTAGCTGGAAAGTGATTTTTTTCCCCATTACATCTGTTTCTTTATTTTATTGAAAGAGTTCTGGAACTCAGGTACTTAAAGTACTAACGGCTCCTGTTAAAACACTGGCTTGGGCAACTCATTCTATTACTTCTACTGTTAAGAAGCCTGCTGTAATTCAGGTATGATTTGCATTCTGTTTTCTGGTATTTAGTTTTTTAGCTAACATTTTTATTATAGTGGTTTACAAATCTAAAAAAAAACCCTGTGGTTTTAAAATATAGCTGTTCCAGGTTAATTTTAGACCTGCATGCCAAATGTGTCTTTCTACACTGCAAACAGCCTATATAAATTATTTCTGATCAATATTGCTGAACACTATAGGAAGTAGCAATTCTAAGTTTCTAGTGAGATGTGCAGCAATAAGATGATCAACCTCATCATGTGTTATAGATCTGTGATTGCAAACCTATGGCATGTGTGTCAGAAGTGGCACTCAGAGCCCTCTCTGTGGGCACATGCGCCATCGCCAGCTGGTCTTCTGGTTCCCAGCATGCACATGCGCGCCAGCCAGCTGGTCTTTGCGGGCTCCAGAATGCTGGGAAATGGCCTGAAATCCAGCCAAAAAACAGGCATGTGTGCGCTGGCCAGCTGGTCTTCGGGTTTCCGGTGCTCCAGCACGCACATACGTGTGCCAGAAACCCTAAGACTGGCTGGCGCACGCATACACACCAATGTTCCCTCTAAGCTGCATGGCTGCGCAGCCGCGCACATAACAAGAAAACTCTGCAAAGCAGTTTCCAACTGCTGCGCAGTGTTTTTTAATGTCTTACAATATGACTTAAAATATTCCCCCTCCCTCCCTCCTCTCTCTGCACCAAACTCTCTCCTCCAGCAGGTGAAGTCAAGGAAGACTCTGCCCAGAGACCAATGACGCTGCTGAAGGTAGAATTCCCATTGGTCCTCTGGGGCTTCGTCGGTTCCTGGGGAAACACGATTCACTGGTTGTAACCTGCATTTCTCTGCACATCCCGCATTTCTCAGGCATTGCGTTGTCTGAAGTCCCGTTCTGGGCTCAGCAGCCTTTCTGCGATCCCTTCGCTTTGCGGAGAGAAGGAAGCAGCGTGGAGTTGGACTGCCTGAGCCAAAGGGGTCCACGGGATCTTGAGACTTGATTTTTGAGCAGT